AAAAAAAAAAAAAAAAAGACAACTAAATACAACTCATGATTCTGAATTAGATCTTATTACGAAGAACATATGGGCACAGTTGATAAAACCAAATGAGATCTGTTGATGATTAGATAGCAGTAATGTATCAATGTTAAGTTCCTGATTTGAATGATGCTTTGAAATTTAGGAATTACACAGTTAATGATTCAGGGCCACTGGACACCATGTTGACAATTTACTATGAAGCTATTTAGAAAAAAACAAAAGGACTCTGTACTGTACTTGCAAATTTTGGGAAAGATTTAGATTATTTCGACATCTTCAAAAAGTGGGAAAAAGTCTTCTGGAAGTTATATTTCACCAAGAAGAGACAAATAAAAAAATAAGTAAAATATGTAGTCTTTCAAATGGTTATAGGATTGAGCCCTTGGGCACTCCCACAGTTAGAAATTAAATAGCAGAAAAAGAGCCAGCCAAGAAGGACCGAGAAGGAGCAATCAGTAAGGCAGGACTTAAATGAGGAGAAGCTGAAGGAGAAAAAGTTTTTTAAAAATATGAAGTGGTTTGCCAGATGCTGTGGAGAGATCAAGTAAGATGAACAGAGAACAAGTGATCACTGGAATTGGCCACAAGGGGTCATGGGAGAAGTCACTGAGGAACAGTGTTAGCAGAGTAAGGACAGCAGCCAGATTCAGAAGGGTGAAAAGAGAATGGGAGGTGAGGACGTGGAATTGGTGAGGATACATATCTAATCCCAGAAGTATTGCTGTAAAAGGGAGCAAAGAATGATGTAGTAGGTAGAGAGTTATGTAGGATCAATGGAGAGTTCTTGTAAAATGGGAGATTTCTAGGGAAGTTTGTGCAATGGCAGGGATGATTCAACAAAGAGGGAGAAACTAAGGATACAAGAAACACTCAGCCTAACTTGAAGTGAGAGGGATGCGACCAAGACTGCATGTGTATACACTGCCATTTGCAGGAGCAGAGGTCCCTCATCTCAGAAATAGTGGGGAAGGAAGGGAAAATGGACCAAAAGGAAGGTGTGACTGCTGTTATGATGATGAAGAGGGGAGAATTTCATATGAGGCAGCTTCTATTCTCAGTGTAATATGAGGCCAGGTCATCTACTGAGAGCAAAGAGGGGTAGAAAGTGAGTGGTCGGGCCTGTGTTCTGAGGAGGAGAAATAAAATTGCAGAGAAGTGACTACAATGGCAGACTTGAGGGCCCACTTGAGATATGAACTTAAGTTTATGAACTTAACGTGTGATCTGTCAGCATGCTTGTGGATTTTTTTTACAGCACTGGTAAGGATATAAGGAAATATTAAGAGTGCCAAATCATTTTTTTTCAAATACATATTTGTTTCTTCAGAGACACTAGATCGGTCTAAACAAGAAAGACAAGGTATGAATCGCAAAGCCTTTAATAATAATGTTTATTTCTTTACGACATGATAATTTCACACTGGTGATTAATTAGTAATCATTTCAATACTTGCAAATTCATCTGCCTCCAGATTTAGTCATAATGCATGAATTTAAGCTAATAAAATTAAAAAACAGTAACAGCTCATCTTATCCTTCTTAATATTCCTTCATGATCAGCAAGATGCATAAGAGTTCTTTAAAAGGTTCTTTAGAATAGATTGGCATATAAATTGTGAGTTTATTTTTAAAGCTGTATAAAAGCAACATTTCTAGGAAAACACTTAAACCAAAGGTCACACTTTATGAAAACAAAATTCTTAATTCAATCGATCTCCATTTTTAGCCATTTGGCATTCTGCTCCTTTGCAAATTTTATATTGCCCAACAAAGAGTGGTTATCTTTTACTGTTTTTGGAGATGACTGAAAGATGAAGACATCAGACACCTACACAGCTGGGATTTTGCCTAAGATCAATGTGTTTTAAAGTAGTCTTTTCTTACATATTTATCAAATATTGAGGAGCACTTGTATCATTCAAGATGAAGTCTGGGTTATCTCTTTGATTAAGAACTAAATTTACTGGAGATGTATCTGATAATCAAGATTTTAGATAAATTTTCACCAGCATTAGTTCTATTAGCCAAATGAAAAAGGTTGTAGGCTTAATATAATAAACACATTAGAAAACATTTAGTCTCTTAGAAGAAAGACCATATTTTGCTCCTGCTTCTGTAAAATCATTATTTGCTTGAAAGAATGGTAGTGTAAACTTTCACTCAACTACTACTCCCTTAATATGAAAAAGTGACAAAATGAGCTGAAGAAGGAAAATTCCAGTTACACTCCACAACCTTGGGTATAATGAGTGAGATCTCTGTTTTGACAATGATTTCTCCATGCCACCCTGTAGGGACAGGTGAAACAAATGGTGATAAGGTTAAAGCATATCTTCTTATCTTCACTGTCATATAGATATATACTTTGAATCGTTTGGAAGAACAAAATATTTTATAAATATAGGCTATTGATAGATCCAGGTATTGCTATTTATTAAATTAAGATATGTACGCCAAATATTTCACTTCTTCCCAAAGCCCTTTCTAAAGCATAGAATGCTGAACATAAATGTTGAGTCATATGCATTTCCCAACAGCCACTGCAAAGTGCATTCCACTTTGATATGACAAGGAACTGGTAGAGTGTGGAGAATCTTAAAAATTCTAGAAATTCCTTAAAATTAATTGAGTAAAAGAGGAAGCTTCTGAATTAGTTAAAGTAGATTATTTCTAAGTGATGCATTGTTTGGCCTAAGTCGAAAGCTGCAACTTTCAGTTCTCAGTAGCACACTTTGGTCTTTGAAAATCATCCCTTACTTCTTTCATGACAGTAGGATTAAATAGCTTTCCCCTTTAATGCTTAAAACATACCATGCTCTGATGCCTTGTCTATCACTGACCACCGTCTTTGCACATGCTATGGCTTGAGTAATGTCATCATTCATCAAAGCTGTAAAACAAGTGGTGAAGAATGAAAACAACTTCCACAGAAATTTCATTTTAAGTTTAGGTTAAGCCAGTTTTATTCTCTTAGACTGAGAAAAGGACACTAAAATTATTTTCCATGAGTCCATGAATCTGAATATTAGAGGAATAACTTTTCTTCATTCCATCCCACTTGGCATGAAACAAAGCATTCTGTGTCTTGTTTACCAAAGTCATTGGAAGCTCTGGAATTATTAACTAATGTGACAGAAGGATTTTGTCACACTAGGCACTATTAAAAAAAAAAAAAAAAAGAGGAACTGGCCTAACAATTTTTAATCAGCAATTCTACTACTAGAAGCTTTCTCTAAAGAAATAATAAGAAATGCACTGAAAGATATATGCACAGGGCGTTTCATTGCAATTAATGAAATCGGAAAATGGAAACAGCCTAAGTGCTTAACAGTAAGAGTTGAATCAATAAATTAGGAATATTTATACAGTGGAATTCTATTTGTACCCTTTACAAATTATGAAGATTGGTATTTGTTAACATAGAAATAATTTTGTGTAATAAAGAGCAGATTGTAAAGCAGTATATATACTACAATTGAATTTTTATTAAAACATACATTGTTTACATGTTTGTACATGGGTACATATGTGCATGATACAGCTTTACATTCACATATGTGATTGACAATATATTCTAGAAGAATATATGCCAAAAGTTACCAGTGGTCATAAGTCTCTTGTTATAAGAATTTTTATTCAATGACCACAGATTATTATATGCTACAAAATATTTTTAAAGATAAATTAACTGAATATAAAACATATTTTATTCTAAGACTAATCTTCTCTATTAAAAATTTTAACATTTAAAAATTCAACATTAATTTTACATACTTCTTCAATATTTTATGCACTAAAGTTTCCACAGGTTATTTCTATTTTTACCTCAGTTTAATAGAACATTTCTTTAACCTTGATTAAACAAATTTATTAATTAACTTGTTAGACGACAATGATTATATAGGAACTGTACTTTTTGGAGATACAAACTAAAGAATTTAGAAATGAAATGTCATAATGTTTCTAATTCACTTTGAAATCACTCAACAAAAAATATATATGTATACATAAAAAAATAAATATAAAAAAATGTTAACAACTGTATGTGATGGGCATATGGTTGTTTATTATACCAATATCTTTAATTTTCTATATATTAAACACTTCATAATAAACAGTAAAAACAATTTTTTAAAAAAGGACCACACAACCAAATGATGCCTAAACTTCCCCAAGTAAGTGTGGAGAATGGGCATTTTTCTTGACAAAGCATCAGTAAGTCCTTTTATATAAATTAATAGATCATTCCAAAACTTTTGTGTATTAGAAAATAGCAACCTTTTATGATACCAGCTCCTTAATTTCTTCCTTAAGAAATTATGAGGAGGATAATGAAGAGTTTCTAGAAGTTGAGATAGATTTTTTCTCGGTCCCTGATGAACCCTCAAAACTTTTCATTTGTATTTAATCTCTATTCTTGTAAGTATAACCAGATGGATCCTGTGTTATCACTCAAATGTTTTGTCTTACCGTTGCAGGATACATGACAGCCATTAACTGCTCGTGGAGTTTTGCCGTCATTACACCAGTAGCGGCTATTGATCTGAAATATTCCGTAATCAGTGCTTTTGTCTCCACGATTGTAGTTGGTAGCTCGTGTGTTGTAACTACTTTCCCATTTGGCCAAACACACCCCTGAAAAGAACTTAATTTTAGTAGTAAATAGCAACAACACATGACTTAATACTGCATACCATAATCAGTTCTATTCAGCTAATTCTATTTTACTAATGACTTACTTTATAAATATAAAGATGTATTTTACTGTTAAATATTTTAACACTTTGTGTTAAAGGGTCTTTAAGAGAATCTTTTTGTTAGCAAATCATTTGTAATACTAGTGAAGGAAGATAACATACTTTTTAAAATATTAATATTCTAAATTAAAATATTCCATTGCTATTATCCTTCCCTTGCTCCTATCCCTCAGGCAAGATTCAGCCTAGAATAGAAAAATCAACAGAGTTGTTGAGTGGATTTTGTAATTAACGGTAGATACCTAGGCTGATGGAAAAAGGCTTTTTATTAGGAGAAACAAAGATTTTCTTGGAGAAAGTCATTTTCTTCTGATACCTAAAGGTGAATTTGGATATCAAATTAGAATCTGGAAAGCAAGAGTTATAGAACAGGAAAGACTAATTCGTCTATCCATCCGTCCGTCCGTCCATCCATCCATCCATCCATCCATCCATCCATTCATGCATCCATCCAACCTTTTACTCATTCATTCAGAAATAGTTTTTAAGGGAAAATATTTGAACTCAATCTGGAAAATACAGTGATTACATGAACAAATATGGACTAAAATATAAAGTAACTTTTACAGGGACACATCTTGGATTGTGTGGAAGAAAATGAAAACAGTTAATCAACTACAGTAAGAATAATAAAATGTCATTTCCTGCTGCACTTCAGGGATCCTTACATAAACAGTGATTGAGGGGAAATAGGTTCCTACTGCCTTGTATGGAGATTTCAACATAATTTAAAAAAAAACTTTGCTGTTTAAAACCCCATGTCATGCAGGGCAATTCAAAAAGAGGAAATTACTGCATTACTCTAGGCTCGGAGAACCGAAGTTCCAAACAGGAAATGGCCAGAGTCAAGTGCCAAAGACTTGACAGAGATATCTCAGGTGCTTGAATGTCAGCTATATGTGCCACCAAGTCTGAGGCAACTGGTAAATTTAGTGGCATTAGAAGAGTACAATGGGTCCTGGTTTATTTTGAATGGTATAGAATTTGCTCTCCCATGTCCTCATTCCTTCATCTGGTATATGTGATTCTAAAGAAACAAGTTGATGTTTTTAACCATTGTAAGTACACAAACCATCAAATTTTTTAAAAAGGTCCATTCACGCAAAGCCCTTTTCTTATTATCCATCCTCTATTAGTATCCACACCTACCTGACTATTTGGAAGTATGAAGAAAAGTTAACTTACAGTTTGCCAGGCTCACTCCCTTGAAGCCATCCATTCCATGTCTTTTCAGAGTTCTGGCAAACTCGCACCTTTCATAGATCTTGCCCTGGATGGTTACAGAAAGGAGGAGAAGCCCCAGAATAAGGAGAGCCTTCATGTTGACTGGGAAGCCAGACCTCTAGGCTGAGAATGGTAGGGTCCCCACTATTTAACATCTTTTAACTTCCTCCTTCTCCTAGTGGTTTGGAGGCTCCACCCTTTGCGATATGTGGAAAACAGAAGCTATTTTTTTGGTCCACTGACTTTGAAAGGTCTTTTTTGTTTGAAGAAAGATGTTCTGATGTCCTAAGAATTAACCTGCAGGAAAATAGACATTTTTAAAAGACCTGGCTTAGAAAGAAATGGGATTAGCAATGTTTTCAAAACAAGAACTATTTTCTTATTAACTTTAGCAACTGTAAAGAAAAAAAAATGGACATTTTTCACAACTGAAAATGAACTCTGATCTTGGATTAACATTTATTTTCCTTAAGTTGTTTTGTGTGCATTCACTATGTTGTCTTCATCTTTTTCACTAAAAATCATTTTATATATACTTTCCACAAAAGAACATGGCACATTGCCTGTCGTTTTAATAGGTATGTAGCACAACACCATGTTGCTCAGCCAGATTTCTACTCTAACTTCTTTTGTTACTTAGATAAATATTTTATTTATAAATAAGCCTCATGTGAACAATTCCCAACTCCTTTTCAACAATGCCTTACCTCAGATTTCCATGTTAGACTATAAGGGGTTATTATAAAGTGGGGGAACGTTATATCAAATCTACAGAAGAATAGCAGAATACGCCACTTGAAAATCTGCCCTTTTGCCATAAGGATTATTTTGAGCTGAAGGCAATTGAGAAGAAGCAGATCTACGAATATTTCTCTGCTCTATTTGTCTGAAAGCATAACATAAATTTGTACATAATGTTATAACATAAAGTTATAACCACCTACAATCTTAGATGCTTATCAGTCTCTAGACGGCAGCAGACGACTCTACATAACAAACTTTACTGACTAGCTATTATCTTCTATTAGTCTCCTAAATATTTAGCTTCCCACAGTTTGCTGCCCTTGGAAGCCTAGGACTATTTTTTGTATTGTTCCTCTAAAAACGGGTCATTCTTGGTTAAGATGCTATGTAAGCCCAAGTTCTAGTTTCCTCTTTGAGTTACTCAATCCTGCATTTCTCCCAAGTATATGTGAGATGTGTGTGTTAATAAACGTGTTTTTTCTTCTCTTGTTGATCTGTTTTTGTTACAGAGCCCCAGCTGAAAATCCTAAAAGAGTACAAGGACAAATATATTTTTCCTCTTTTACAGTTCTGGCAATGAGGATAAGACAGTAAATGGCTGGAACGCTTCACTCTTCCTAAATACTGCAGTTGAGATATGGGATTGTGCTGGCTGGAAAATTACTGCTTGGCTATCGCCCATGGGAACATAACATTCTAACAATAAGCTTTCTGCTTCTGTACCCTCACTTGCACAACCGACCTGTGGGTAGACAGTTAGTAAAAAGAAGAAAAATAGATGTGTATGTTCAAACAGTATGAAGAATGGGGTTTAGGGCTTAAAAACCCTGTACCTCTACATTTCGGGGCTGCTTAATTTGGGGTCTGTGTACCCCTGGCAGACCCAGCTGGCTGAATAAAGAGTGCGTTTCCTATAACTCACTGGTTTCTGGTAGTCCGTGTGTCTATCATGGGCTGGCGGCTACAACATTTGGAAGCCTCAGAGAGATCTCAGGGAGTGGCCCTGAGATCTAAGACCGGACCGGTCTCCGAAGCGGTTGCTGTCCCTGTTACGGACTCAAAGGGGTGGCCAACCTGAGTCAAGAGAGGAAAATAAAAATTGCTCCTTGTCTTTTCCTTTCCAAATTCATAATGGCAGAAGAAAAACATTTGTAAAAGTAGATTTGAATTGTGACTCTTGTAAATTTGGTTTTGGGTACCCACAGGTTATTGATTCTGAGCATCCCAGAAATAATCATGCTTTCTTTTGTCTCTGTCTTTTGTGTCATTTGTTATAAAGATGAAAACCATAAGACGAGAATCTCTATTTGTTTTATTTTATATACCAAAAATTTGGTTTTGTAACCAGCGAGAATATTCTCTGGTTTCTGCCACTTGGTGGGGCTGGGTAGGTGGACACAGGATATCAAACTTGAATCAGGCAGCTAGCCAGCTGGCTAGGAGCTTAAGATGTGTGGTGACAAGCAGCATTCTCTTTGTCCAACTGTGCCAGCTTTCAGCGGAGATTGTCTTAATAAAGAGTCCTAGTATATAAGAGGCTTTTGTCACCTCCACCTTTATTGCCTTGCTTGTGCTGGAAAAATTTCAATCTCAATATCACCTTTCTGATAACACGAATTAATGGGTCTGTGATTTGAGGTGTCTCATCTTGTTAGAAGTTTCTTATCACTTGTGACAATGAAGGTCTTTGCTTTTCTAGGCCATCTTTGGACCAGCTCTGCATCTTGAGAAGGCTGCATCTTTTGCACACTTTGAGGATAACTCTTGTGTCCATGGTTAGGCCATAAAAAGGCTTATTGGTTTGGAGTCAAAATTGAAATAGGTATAACTTTGAAGATCTAGACTTTCACATCTAAGAAGATTTTTAAAAGAGCTCTTATCCTAAACAAATGTCCTTTTGGTACCTATGAGAAGATTGGATTAAAAAAAAGAAGGAAAGGAGGGAAGAAAGACAAGAAAGAAAAGAAAAGAAAAGAAAAGAAAAGAAAAGAAAAGAAAAGAAAAAAGGAAAGGAAAAGAAAGAAAAAAGAAAAAAGAAAAGGAAAGAAGGGAGAAAAGAAGGAAGAAAAAAAGAGAGAAATAGATACAGAAGATTGCCTTGGCTAGTGTGAGAAAACAAAACAAAACAAAACAAAACACTTCCTAAATAAGATTAAGAGGTGGAGATCAGGCTTAAAACAAATGTCAAAAACAGCAAATGATATTGAAGCATGTGTAAAACTTGCATAAATTCGGATAGCCAGGAAATAACTTTGACAAAGTTCCAGAAAATATACAGAAAGGCTTGATTTATTGTCCTTTACTCTGTAAGGCCCCACGAGGTCCAGGACTTCCTATATTTTGTGCCTCTACTGAAAAAGAAATTCACTGGACTCACACCCTTAAAGAAAGAAAAACTTAAGTAGTTATTGCGCTAGGTTTCTGATAATAGGAAAATATGTCCCTGAGTTCCTTCTTTTTTGAACCCTACTATCTCAGTCCTTTGGAAATATTAACTTTATCATGTCTTTGAAATGTAAGCATCCAAGAAGATAACCGTTGGCTAAAGCAACTCCTGAGACTGGGGCGGGATGCAGGAAAGGGAAAAGGTTTTTAAAAGACAAACTACTGCTTCATATTTCCATGGGCTCCCTTGACCAAAATTTAGTCCACAGCCTCCATAAAATTACCTATTAAAGACAAATAAAAACCGTTAAAGTGTTCTCCGCAAATAATGGCAAAAAACTTTAGCCATCTGAGTGGGTAACTTTTTTATCTGCCAGATACACCATTTAGATCCAACTATTCTTTTATAAGCTAGCAGTTTTGCATTATTGTACCTGTGTTATTGTAGCTAACTTTTAAAAATGAAAGCTATAAAGTCTCTGTTTGCATCTGTCGGTATTTTTATGCATGTCTATGTATGTACTTTATATATATGTGTGTGATATTTTTCTCCCTACAAATGGTATTTCTAAAAACTAATTTATGAAAGAGTTCTATTTAACTGGCTTAAAGAAAATATAAGCACTTATATAAATTAAGGCTAGTCAAATAAGTTTACATTATCTCTACTAGATGTTTGAGGTTATAAAATTGTAAATTTAACCTAAGAACGAAATGTACAATAAAAGCAATTTACTAAATATACATCAACACTGCGGAAAAAAAGCCATAAGTTTAACTTTTTAAGTTTTGTTTCTGTGATTTTTTTCAACATATCTGGTTTGTCAACAAGGAAAATAACTTAGACTGATGGTTAATTTGTAATGTCTCATGAAATTTTCATGTTAATTCAAGCACAATTATTAAGAACTTGAATTAAATGGATGTAAGTGGGATAAAAGTTTATAAATGAGCTTTGTAACAATGATGTTTTATAAAATATATCTGCTTAAAAATAGTTTCCAAAGATTTTCTGTAACTTTAACCTTAAATGATGAATATTCATTGACTATCTAGATCATTCCCAAATAGGAGAAAATACTAAGACATTAAATGCTGAACATAGGTTTATCTACTTTTGGCTCCTTTTTTTTTTTGCCACATTAAAAAATTATACTATGAAAAGGCATTTATCTCTAGAAATTATAAAATGACATTCACAAATTTGTTAATGTATTACAAAATGTTAGTATGTGGCAGACAGTTCACAATTGCTTACTTCTTAACTTATATTGGAAATTCAGATTACTAAAGGTTAAGAATTCTAGCCCATATATGTAAATGAAACTACTAGAAATAATATGGGTAAAAAACATATGCCAAATACACAAGGAAAGTAAGATGTGTTTTTGATCATGAAAAGTATGACTTATGAGGATGAATTTTTGTTAAGGGAAAAGGAAAGTAATTTTGTCCTAATTTAGAGGTTATTTTAGACTATGAAAGAAGGGATAAAGGACAAAACCTACATGGGTATAGAAAGTTAGGAAAAGAGAGAGAAAGGGAAATTGAGAAAGAAAAAGGGAGGGATTCTTATCTTGCGTGATCAAACTGGTGAAAATTGAATTAATTTATTATAAGGGTTTTTAAAAATAAGCTTTAATAGCAATAGTGTGCCTATGCAAAACTAGAATTTAATTTTCTCTCTCTGTTAAAAGGACAAAGTTTTCATGGATTATTGTAAAAGATTTTTTTTTTTTTTTTTTTACCTGTATGTAACTTGCCTGGGAAACAAAGATTCTGTGTCTTATTGGGAGAAGTACCTGTGATTTACATTCTTCACCAGATCTGTGATTACTCAATATTCTTATACTTGCCTTTGAAATTTTATATTGTCACTTTGATTAAATAAGTAACTATTTTTTCACAGTAACCTGTGATCCTGTTTAATCAGTGTTAAACCCTTTTGATTTTTTTTATAACTTCCTAAAATCAAATTTTGAATAAATTCTCTTTGACTTTAAACTGACTTTGAGATCTCCCAAATGGCCTCTGGAAAAT